AGTTGTAGTCCCATGCATTATTTAGTGTGTATCCCTGCATTCTGTGCTCTGGTTTATTTGGGTGAATGTAGGTGACTGTAAGAGGTGTGCAGGTGCTCCATACTAACCTTAAGATGGCTTATCCCGCTCTTCATCTCTCTGCATCTGACTCCTCATAACACACATGCACATACATTGGTTTTTCTATCATGGTAAAGACTTTGCATTGACTTCTATTTGAGTTTGTTTATTCCCTAACTCTATGCCTTTATGCATTTTTATATTTTCATACTAAATATTTAGTATGTTTTTCAATCTTAGAATGTTTTTTTTTTTGTTGTTGAGCATGTTTTGTTTTAGGATATTTCATCATTTAAAAGGGTATTGTAAAATTTCTGTTCTGTTTAGAGAAAGTTAGTCAGTTTGGCCCATAAGTGGCGCACAAGAATGCTGGAGATTAGTGTCTGTGATTGTGTGTGTGTGTGTGTGTGTGTGTGTGTAATTAGCAGAGCAGAAGGGGATTTGTGCTAAAACTCTCCCTCCCCTCTCCTCCACTCTTCTTCTCTCCTCTGCAAGAATACGTGTGTGTTTATTGCGACAGCGTGCATGAATGCCGGGGTTGTTTCCTTGCAAACAGGAGGTCCGAGATGCGTCTGCATGCAGCCTCTCTCTGCGGGTCCCATCTGACAGCGGAAGCCCTCTGAGACCAGGACTGGGCTGCTGTAGTCTTCCCAGCATTCTCTTGGATCAGATCATCCTGGCTTGGGATTTCATTGGTTTTGCTTGGTGCAGATTGCCCTGTTGTGGTCAGGACTGTTTTAGCATCGGTCTGGACCGAATGTGGATCAATCCGGATCGGTTTTGGGCTGGTTCCGAGACATCAGGTCGAGCCGAGGCCAGTCAAGACTGGCTTAGGCACATGTGAGAACCAGTTTAAATGTCTCTGCATGAGTTTCTTCGGGAGGGCCAGGACGCCCCACAGCGGATCCTGTCCCGACTGACCCAGCTCCTCTACAATCTATCGGCTACGGTCTTACAGGGGGCCCCCTTCTCTCCTTTCACAACCTTCAGCCGCAAGAGCTCCTGGAGGGACTGGAACGGTGAGAGACCAGAATATCAGTGTGTGTGTGTGTGTGTGTGTGTGTGTGTGTGTGTGTGTGTCTGTGGGGGGGAGTTGCTTTCAGATGGTTTTGCTGAGGAAACAGGATGGACATTGCTGACTGCCTCTGTTAGATTCTGAGTCATTCAGTTTTAGGACACTTTGTGAGCGGTTAAAGGAATAGCTCAACCAAAAATGAAACTTCTGGCAACATTTATTTACCATCAAGTTATCCCAAACTCATATGACTTTCCTTCTTCTGAGGAACTGCAACATTTTGAAGAATGTAGTACCAGTTGATCTTTTTCATGCAGTTTGAAAAACTGAGAACTGAAACTTTCAGGCTTCAAAAAGGATGCAAAAGTACCATAAAATTACCATAATTGCTTAAATTTAGGATTTTTTTTTTTTTTTTTTACAAAAAGTTTTCTTGAAGGACAATAAAATAGTGTACAAGTCATGTGGACTTTATGATACTTATACATATAATACTTTCATGGTGTCTTTGGTCTGAAAACTTTTTTTTTTTTTGTATTTTGTAAATGCATAGAAAAGAATGACCCACACATTCTTTAAAATATCTTATTTTGAAGGAAAAGTATATACAAGCATGGTATGACATTAGGGTAAATGCCCATTCACACCAAGCCGGACAACTATAACTGTAAAGATAAAGTTTTATTATGGTTATAATTCTATGGAATTAGAATTGGAATCACTTATAAAATAATTTTTTCCAGCTAATAAACAATAAAGACATTAATAGCCAATCAAAGTCCACCTGACTTTAAAGAGCTTAAGCATTTAAAGCAGCAGACGACAGAACATTATAAACAGAACATTATCGTACATTGGTGTGGACGCTAAAATAGTTATCTTTATAGTTATTGTTCTCGAGAACAGGCCTTGAATAAAGAATGGAATGGATGGAACTATTCCTTGAACATGCTGTGGCCCCAAAACGTTATCTGTTGAAATTAAATTCTTAAATTCTTGGGTGTTCAGATAATTTTTAGGGCCAATTTAAGTAAATGTTTGTGCATTTGTTTGTGTGTGTGTGCGTGTGTGTGTGTGTGTGGTTTCCTCGTGGGATTTCTCACATCATTGAGATGCATGTGGATGGCCCATTGGCCGGATCACACTGACACACATCCTCTCTCTCTCTTTCTCTCTCTCGCTCAGACACTTTGCACTAAAAGTTTTGTTTTCCACAGTAAACCAGTGCATCTCAGCACAGAGCTAGACTGGTATATTTAGGGAACACACATGGCATGAGCGACTGATAGACATGGACAAATAGCGTATCATCTCAACTTCTCAAAAAAGATATTCATACACACATACCCTGTAACAAACTGAACAATTGCTTTGCTTTGCGTAGTCCACAGCGGACAAACTAGGGAATACACACACTCAAAAACAAGGCACTGCAAGGACAGCTTGTGGCGGTATCTGTACTGGAGAGCAGATGTCAGACGTCCTGAAATGTGAGTAAATCTCTGATCTTAAGCCGCTCTGTGTCTGTTTCTCGCTTGTAACAGGATGCCGCTTAAGTCGGAGTGTGTTTGTGTGTGTACTTGCTCTTTGATGTTTGACTTTCTGTGTGTTTAATATGAGATGACTCCCAGCATCCTTGTGATGTTGTCACACTCTTTTGTTCTGTATCTGCGCTATGCAGACGAGCTATTTTGGACTTCATTATCTGTCATATGCAGACTATCTTTTTAGACTGATCTCGGCCCAGCGTTGGCATGAAGTCTTCAAAGTATTTTATTATTAGAATATGATGTTTGTACGCCGCCTCTAGCCAGATTGTTCCTTGACTGTCTGCGTGTAGCATTTTTTAAGGCAAGCATCACTGTCACTATCGCTCATCAGTGTTATTTTTTTTATCATTGAAATACTGTTTATACTTCCTGATTTCATTTTAATTGTAAAGTTTTAGTACTTTTGTTGTGTTTTTTTTGTTATTTTAAAAAGTTTTTGTTTTTATGCATTGGTGAATATAATTTGACTTAGCCTATTTTAGTACATCAAGTTAAACTAGATGAAAATTAGAAATATTGCCTTGGCAACTAGCTGAAATAAAATTACTTTTTTATATTTTATTTTATTTTAGTTAACGTTTATTTCATTTGAAGTAAAAAAAAAAAACCTGTTTTAGATGGTTTTAGTTTTAGTCTACTATGAATACTCTGTTGCTCATACTTAGTGTGTGATATATTTTGAGTTTGATATCTAGATTTGATATAAGTCATGGCCACGTGGAGTTCTCCAGTATGTTGTAATGGTGTCTGGTAATGGTTAACTACACCTGCAGCGGTTTGCGTGAGGTCAAAGTATAATGGACAGCGGTTAGAGTGGTGAAGCAGTGCTGGATCCATTTACGTCTGTGTTTGTGTTTGCTGTGAGAGGTAAATCCTGATAATCAGAAATGGAAACAGTGTGCTGTTTCATCCATAAACCTGGGAGGACACAATCCAGGTACACGCAGACTCTGCAACAAGGTAAATGTGTTTGGATAACCTTTGAGATCTTGAACTGAGCTTTGAGTCTATGTGAGAAGTCTCTGACATGCAGAAATTTCAATGTATAACTCTATATGCAAAAATCTTAAATAATATGTAAAATAACTATAACAATTAATGTTACAAAATTAAATTGTAAATATGATGATCATACTGTAAAATGTTTTTTTTTTAATTTATAGTAAAACAGCAGCCGTGTTTGCCAGATTTTTACCGTAAAAATATAGTTGCAACATTTTAAACTTTACAGATATGTTTTTTACTGTACATTTAATTTCAGTATTTTAGGAACTGAAATAATTGTAATAATAATTTTACTTTAAAACATACTGACAACCACCTTAAACGGATGGTAAAGAGTTAATCAGAAGCTCAAATTAATAGGTGCACAAAAACCTGTGACACTAAAACAATGCAATAAATATGAATTTAACAACATAAGAAAAATAAAAAAAATTAGATGTCTATACTATCTTAATTGTTTATTCATTTGTTTTGTTAATATTTGAAAAATATTAAATTGAGACAAACTACTGAGTCTTAGTGTTTTTCAGATATTATAAAATACCCCTATAATAAATTCTCAAATTATGCAAATCATTTCAAAGTAACAATCCACGTTTAATTATTGCAAAATATTCTTTTTAGGTTTTTTTTATTATTATTTAATAGTTTTTAATTTATCCATTTAGAGTATACATTATACCAGTTTGTTTGTTTCCTGGAACTCAAATCCCTGCACCATTCTTAACCAATTGAGCTACAGAAACTTTGTAAATAGTCCCATTTGTTTGTTTCGTTCTCTTTTTTTTTTCAAAATAATACATAATGAAGCATAACTGAGAACTCCATTACGTTTACTGAAAGGATAACATAAACTATTCTTCTTTTGTGCATGTGTTTGAAAATCTGATGATAATGCAAAGCCTGAAATCACAGGTGAGATAAGAGACAGATGTGTAATGTGTTTGTGTTCGAGTGAGCAGCTTTGTTGTGCATCTCAGATGGGCGTGACTGAGAAACAGCGTCACGTTCCTGACTGCAGCACTCACACCTGAGAGAGACAGATAGAGCGTCAGAGAGCGAGAGACAGATTGTGATCATTCAGGGAGTGAATATTTGCAATGTGAGGACAGACAGAATGTGACAGTAAAAGGGAGAATGATTGAGGAAGGTAAGAAGAGCAGGGCAGATTGAGACCGAGTGAAGGAGGTGAAATGATCCTGATGGAGGAGACTGGGACGCAGCTCTGCAAGAGCTGGGTGAAGATCCCTTTAGAGGAAATGGAAAGTTTCTTCAGGTTCACTGTTTGCTGTGAGGGGCTAAATTGTAAGTTGCTCTTGTGTCATGTGCTGAGAAGATGAGAAGTGTTTGTGTTGCACTTTGTTGTTTTCCCCAGCACTTGTATCAGGATGTTGTTGGCAGTGATGTATCATGGGATGTTTTCAGGGTGATAATACATCTGCAATTTGAATACATGTTGTTAGTATCTGATTGTGTGACACTATTGCTGTCAGATTTAAAAAGCTGCAATTTTAAATTCCCTGCATGGATCAAGCAGCCAACATTTCACTAAAGTAAATTCAAATTAAAAAATTAAATGTCATTTTAAATAAAAAATCATTAATTATTTACTCATCCTCATGAATTTCCACACCAGTATGCTTCTGTTTTTTTTCTATGAGACAACAGTACATTTTGAAGAATTATTTTACATCTCTTACCATGATGCTCCATAATAACCAGCAATTATATTTTAGTATTATTTATATACTGTTCTGAATTAGTTTTGTTTTTATAATTTGTTATGTGCTTTTGTCTTTTTTATTCGTTTTTTTTAATTATTTAGCTTTATCTTATTGTTTTAGTTTCTGTAATTTTTCATCTAATATAATAATTTTATTTTATTTCAGCTTTATTTGAACTAACAAAAATGATTTTTAATAGTTTAGTTTCAGTTAACAATAACATGGTAACCAGGGGCGGTCAAGCTCCATAAAGAACAAAAACACCAAACGGCATCATAAAAGTAGTTGATCTGATCAAGTATCTGCTCCACTTGACCCTCCCCTAAAGCTCTCATTTGTCATCAGAATTTTAAAATAATGTCACATGATTACCACATATGCAAGAACCAGTGTCATTTTGATGGCAATGATGTTGACAGTTTTTCTAATGTAGCATATGTGTCGTTTTATGGTGTTTTTGACCTTTATGGGGCTTGACAGAAAGGCAAATTGTTATTGAACAGCACAAGGTTAGTAACATTTATTCCAGTGTCCAATGATTTTCCAGTGCCTCACTGAATAAAATAACAGCATATGGAACTGAAATGATATGAGGGTGAGTACACAACAATTCGTTCGTGTCGACTGTTCCTTTAAAAGGTAAGGTAACCAGAAAGACATAACAAGCACTATACTTAGGTTTGTTAGGTGTCCTTAGCCAAAGTTCAAATGCGAAGCATCTGACATTGCATTTGTCATAAGACTGTCAAACGTCTGTAGACAGGATGTTGTAATTAGATGCACCTGCTGACTTGTTCCTCTGTGGGTGTGGTTCTTCAGCATGGCTTCTCTCTGTGACTGTCTGTCTCTGTGCTGCTTGAGTATTTTGCATAACCTTTGCAGTGGGAACATCACAATAAACATCAAACAAGAAAAGACTGAGCTCTCCTCTAACGCACATGCGCCTGTGAAGCGGTAAGAGGTCACAAGAGCATGTCTTTATTTGCCTATGGGGTTGGTGAGGTTTGCTTATAGTGTTATGAGGACACAGTTGATCTTAAATTGCTTTAGGTTTGGCTGTTTACACTGGATGAGCTTGCCTGGTTTACAAAGCCCAACCTTATGTTGATGAAACACAGGCAGCCATTTTGGCTCTGAGCATCCACCATGTGGCTGTAGAGTTCTACTGTTTAAGCCACTCAGATGAGCTGTATGCTTGTGCGTTAATTTATACTGCTGATCACCAGAGACTGAAGTTAAGGTGTCATCTCTCATGGGAGCAGAGGCAATGCAGTAACAAACTGCCAATGAACACACTTTGTTGAGAGCTGCCGTTCTACATATACAAGGCCACACTGTTAAATAAACCCCTGAGTGAATCATGTAAGAGTTGATTTTGTATATGCATCAATGCTAGGTGATCAGTACTAATACACTGTACAGTATAGTCCGATTTATCAATCAATGCATTGCAGACTGGTGATGACCTCCTCTCTTTGATTGTGCTGTTAGTGTGGGTTACATCAGCCTTCTCCTCATATTTGTTTGCTCTGAGTAAACGTCTGCTCTCACTGCGTTTATATACTCAGCAGTACTTTGTATTGTTGAAACAGCTCATGTTGTAGTGTAGGTTTACTCTAGCAAATCTCTTATTGCAAGGGTTTTACTATTTTCAGAGACCTGCACTGTCAGTTCAAAAGCAGCGTTAGAGGTCATTAAGAGGATTTTCTGTTTTTGAATATTGAAATTAACTTAAAAACAGTCTTTGTATAAATGATTATGTAAAATATATTGAATATTTTTAATTATATATACATTACAATATATACAAATTGTGGCATATGATGAATGGCATGTTTTTGAATTCTGCAGGAATCTACTCTTGCAGATTCTGTTTGGGCCTACAGCCTCCATTATCTCCTCACATCATCATTTTTCATTGACTTTATGAGTGTCTCCCCCTTTGGCTTCACTGTCAGTGTGTATTAGAGCCACTGGCCTCCATTTCCTCATCATGGTTGCTACTCTTGCTGAGTTCGTCCTTGTTTGGCAGCCCCTGCAGTAGTGTGTGTTTGCTGGGGCAAATCTCTTGTTTTGTGGATAATTTTTGGCGATGCAAATTTTAGAGGCATAAATGTCATTGTCATTTTAGAGGAAATCTTTAGAGGATGTTTCCTCTTGCTAGTGTTGTGTTGTATGGTGATTTTATGCAGAGTTGCATGTGGTCGATGAGCCAACATTTTGCCACAATCAGCTGCCGTGATTATTTTTCCATTTGCACTTGGTTCTTCCTCTTGAGTGTGAGGTTTTACAGTAAATTAATTATATTATTTTTGTGTCTATTATTGTGGTTTCTCTTATCATATGTAGTTTGAACAGAGAAGTTGATCTTAAATTATAACTCTCTCATTTGAATAGCACTGAGTATTTTTGCACTTGTTTACAAACAAAAAATTGAATAATTTGCCATGATGTTTTGACTTCTGTTCTCTTGTGTATGGATTTAGGACAGTAAAAAAATATAACTTTGTAATACATCAATGCTGATCGATCTATATATATATATATATATATATATATATATATACACACACACACACAGTATATTTCCTTTGCTGTTATTTTTTTCTTTCTGTTCAGCCATCCAGTCTAAAACCTGAACCCCCTGCAAAAATATTATTATTTTAGGGTGATTTTTTACTCATTTCTCACCTGTGATGTATTATTTTTTATGAGATTTTTTTATGCAGGGACTGTTTGGAACGGCATGAGAGTAAGCAAATAATGACAGTTTTAATTCAGATTTAATGTCTGCATGAAACTGAATTGGCGATAGTCTTTTCTTCCCTATTGTGACGTCTATCTGATTCTGAGTGAAACAAGAAAAAAATTTAGGGTGGGACTTAATTTTGTTCATCGGGAATTGATTGGCTCGTTGGATCGTCATTGTTTGCTAAATGCAATCTTATGTGAGAAGGCTTTTAAGACACTTTGCACTTTTGTCACGTTTTCACTTTTAAATAAATAAAATATATTTTTGATAGACCTTGTTTAGTCTGATTGTATTTTTCCAGTGTGCGGACAATTTCTGCTATACCTGGTTGACTAACTTCTTTTTTTATCTATGCACCTGAGAATTCATTGGCATGCACTTCCTGTTTGATGAAAAAAATTATGAAATGCTGCAAAATTCCATGAAAAATATTTCATGGTGACTCAAATTTATTTCTCACGGATTCCTGAAGTTTCCCTGGTTTAGGAAACTAAGAGCATATAAACACAAGTCTTCCTGTTTGGCGGAACTGCATAAATTGAAACAGTATATGCTGCCAGCAGTAAGCATGGATAATTAAGAGAGGGGTGAAGCTGAGGCCTAAACAGCCTGTGATTCTGTTACAGTGCCTGTGCTGATTAAATCTGGATGATAAAGGGGGTGTGGTGACATGAACGTCCCTCTAGAACAGCTAACTGCTACTGCTAACTGCTGTCCAGACGGCCATCATCCCCCCGCAGGCCAGAGAACGTGACGACTGTCAGCACTGATGTAGGTTAATGATGGGACATTCTCCCACTGGCATGACCGAATTTCCGGAGATGGAAAGAATCAAGGAAAATGTAGACTAAAAAAGTGAAAGCACAATCTCATTGGTAAACAGTTTAGTATGTTATTCAAAGGAAATGCCTGATCTTATGACAGTATTTCATTGCTTTTCTCCTCATCTTTGGGATTTTACTTGAATTATAAAGAGGAAGTTTCCCTCCTCTCCTTGTAGCTTCAGAGCCCGCAGAGGAAGTTCTTGTATCCTTGTTGTTGTTGTTTGTTGTTTTGTAATAAACCAGACATGTTGTCATAGTAATATCCTGTGGATATATTCATGTCTCTGTGTGTTCCTGGGACTTCTTTGCAGGTGCCTGTCTGAAAACTACCTTTTGTCTCAAGCGTTTTTCCTGTTTTATCATAAAGAGCAACCACAAAATAACTGGTTTGAGGATTGTTCAGACCATTTATGCATAAAAAAAATTTTTCGGAAAGTTTTTTTCGTATTCTTTTTCATTTGCTATGCACATTTTATTTACTTGCAGTCCCTAAACTAACATCTTAATGACGTGTATTTCTGCAAACAGGCACATAAGTCCAATGGTTATTTGTGATTCGTAATTCATTTGTCTCATGAATCTGATCTTTGATGTATTTTTGGAGGACTGGGGGTTTAATTGGTTGCTGTGTGATCTGTGTGATTTGCTGCTGTGACCAAACCCATGCAAATACCCACCAGTGACTGCATCAGACTGATCACATGACTAGCCTGTGTGTGTGTGTGTGTGTGTG